TCTTTGTTGTTAAATTTTCGTTTGCCCAAGTTCATAATAACTGGTGATATAAAACAGATGTTTCGGCAAATCATAGTAGAAGAATCTCATCAAGACTTTCAACGAATTCTTTGGCGTTTTCATGATAATGATCCTATAGAAGAATATCGCTTGACTCGCGTTACCTTTGGTCTCTCGTCTTCACCTTATCTAGCCATGCGCACTATCGCACAATTAGTTGAAGAGGAAGGTCATGATTTTCCGTTAGCCGCCCGGGCGTTGGGTTCTGCTCTGTATGTGGACGATTGCTTGGGAGGGGCGGATACTATGGAAGGGGCTCAAGAGCTGCAGTCTCAGCTCGTTGAACTTTTAAAAAGGGGTAAATTTGAGATGCGCAAATGGGCAAGCAATTGTCCACACATAGTGCGCAACCTATCTCCAGAGCATTGTCAAACCATTAAGTTTGATTCGGAGGATAGTGTTTTGAAAATATTAGGACTTCAGTGGTTACCTTCATCCGACAGCTTTGCATTTCATAGTAGTAGTCAAGGTAATTCTAATCACACTAAACGATCAATTTTATCGGATATTGCCAGAATTTGGGATCCCTTGGGATTTTTAGCTCCCTTGTCTTTCTTTGCCAAACATTTGATTCAGTTATTGTGGTCGATTGGGATTGAGTGGGATGAACCCCCTCCTCCTGAAGTTACTTCAAAATGGTCACAGTTTAAGTCAGAACTTTGTTGCTTAAATGGGGTCAAGATACCTAGATATTTAGACATGAACTTATGTCAGCTTGAACTCCATGGATTTTGTGACAGCAGTGAAAAGGGTTACGCCTGTTGCGTTTACTTAAGAGCTATTTCTCCAGATGGACATGTCTCTGTTTCCCTGTTGTGTGGAAAATCCAAGGTTGCCTCCTTAAGGAAAATATCAATTCCCCGTCTTGAGCTGTGTGGAGCCGTTTTGTTGAGTAAACTCATTAAATTCGTTGTTGATGCATTTAAACAAAACTTTGTTTGGAATAAAATTTATGCATGGTCAGATTCGACCATAGCTTTGTCGTGGATAAAGTCGCCTCCATATAAATGGAAAACCTTTGTCGCCAATAGGGTAGCATTTATCCAAGAAAGGGTTGCTCCCGAATGCTGGAACCATTTAGTTTCGGCTGACAATCCTGCAGACGTCGCCAGTCGCGGCGCGCTGCCTAAAGAATTAGTGGAACACTTTCTTTGGTGGAACGGCCCACTTTGGTTATCCCTACCAAAAGAAGAGTGGCCAATTTCCAAATTTGACGTATCTATCGATTTTGACATGGAAGTTGCCAAACCGGCAATACTTTCATTGGTAGTAGATGCACATAATAACTTTGGGAAAGATCTTTTTCAACGCTTTTCTTCACTTCGGAAAATCCAAGGTACCGTCAGCTACGTGTTACGTTTTATAGATCGTTGTCATAAAAAACACTACCATTGTGGTGTTCCGACAGAAAAGGAGTTACATCTTGCTACCATTACGTTAGCCAAGTTCGTCCAGTCTTCATCCTTTTCTGAAGAAATTTCACTTCTAAAACGTAACAAACTAGGCAGTAAGTCACTTCGTAAATTAGCTCCATTTCTCGACGAAATCGGTTTATTACGCGTTGGTGGTCGTCTAAGACATTCACAACTTACCTTCGAAGAAAAGTTCCCTATACTTTTACCCAAGGAACACCCGTTTACGGACCTTATCATTCGTAGTTTTCATGAAAGGTTTCTTCATCCTGGACCTCAAACTCTTCAATACCTCATTGGGCAACAGTTCTGGATTCTTGGCGCGAAACGAGCAATCTATCGCTGTTTGTCCTCATGCTTCAGATGTTTTAGGGCCCACCCTAAACCTCTGTTACCTCGTATGGGAGATCTCCCTGCTCATAGGGTTTCTCAGATAAAAGCATTTGCACGTTGTGGAGTTGACATGGGTGGTCCATTTAAGGTTACTATGGGGCGTTACCGAGGAGCTAAATCTCTTAAATCGTATATTTGTGTATTTGTGTGCTTTGCCACGAAGGCAGTACACATTGAACTTGTTTCAAGCCTCAGTACGGAGGCATTTGTTGCAGCATTTCGTAGGTTTGTAGCTCGCAGAGGACGAGTTTCAGACATACACAGTGATTGTGGCACCAATTTTGTAGGAGCAGATAATTTGTTTGCGTTGTTAAAGGATACTTGTGATTCCCTTGCAATTAAGTGGCATTTCAATCCCCCTGCTGCACCCCACATGGGAGGTCTTTGGGAAGCGGCCATTAAGTCCGTGAAAACTCATTTAATTCGGGTTATCGGCGAGCAGATCCTTACATTTGAGGAGATGTCTACTCTTCTTACCCAGATAGAAGCGGTCCTGAACTCGCGCCCCTTGACGGCGTTCAGCGCGGATCCTAATGACTTTTCTGCCCTCACTCCGAACCATTTTTTGAATATGGAGCCTGTTTCTGCCTCTCCTGACGAAGATTTGACTAATTTTTCCGTAAATCGTCTTTCTCGGTGGCAACTTCTCCAACAGTTCCATCAAAATATATGGCGGCGTTGGAATAGAGAGTATCTTCAGACTCTTCAACAGCGTCATAAATGGCATTATTCCGATGAAGTTCTAAAGGAGGGTTCTTTAGTGGTTGTTAAACAAGAAAACTTGCCTCCTACGAAATGGGTTCTTGGTAGGGTTGTTGGGTTGCATAAGGGCACTGACGGGATTACGAGAGTAGCCACAATTCGCACGACTCAAGGTACAATGAAACGTCCTTTGGTCAAACTTTGCGTATTACCTGTAGAATCTACAGAATAGAATCTAGTAGTAGTAATAGTTTAGTTTAGTAAGTAGTATAATAAATTTTGATTTCGGGAAAAAATAAATATTGTGTTAGGTAGTAGTAGTTAGGTAATAAAAGGATATTAAATCCTTTCATCGGGGGGGAGTATGTTTAGAAATGGATTTATTTTATTTGTAATTATTGCGGACCGCACAGTACATTTTTGTGTATGCGGTTTTGCATACCTTTAATTTGCATAATGTACAATTATTTATTGTTGTCGTGAGGCATGCGCGTTATAGACACAGACGCGTGTGAACAGAGAGACAAGAGAGACATCGATCGAGTAACACATTTTGATCGATATTCCATATAAAAATAATTAATGTTAAAGTCAATCGTGATTTAAGTAAAACACCTTATCGTGTGCCAACTGAACCTTTTCAAATCTGTGAATATAAGTGAGGTCGAACCCGTGCAATAGAGATTCAAAGGTCCTTACAGGAACGAACGTCAACGCTAGCTAGCCAACGAAACACGCCGAGTGGATCCATAAGGTAAGGCCTTTTAATTCTCTCGAAACAAATACAGTCCACTTCTCAATAAATAAATATATTCTAAGGTGAAACAACAGAACCTTTACAACGTGACATCCTTTAATGTCAAAAAATTACTTAAGGCGTATGCATGCTCACTTGTATACACAACAATGTATAATAAATAAGAAATTAATCCTTCATGCATAACATAATAAATAAAAAATGTTGTCACCATGTAGTTGCGGGAGGTGTAATGACGGCAGTGAGTATACATTGTATTTTAGTTGTTATTGATGAAAATCATAGATGTTGCATTATAATATGTCACGCACATACTTCTACAAGGAGAAGTATGTGATGTCACGTTACCTACGTCAATTTGTCAGTAACACTAAACACAATTATATTTTTTATAGTGGGTTATGTATTGCCTATAAAGAACACTCAACGCGATTGCCAACACGTGTACCATGGTTCCTTGGCCAACACATAAAAATAATTCACAGACCTATTTTGTCCTGCGCAGTTTTATACGCAAGTATAAGAGCCAAAGTTAAAAGTTATTTATCATTAGTCTTATTTCCTTTTTTATGAACATGGACGCTACCATTACTTTATTTCCTATTTTAAGTGAGCATGAATACGCCTTTAGTGTCAAAATAAATTGATCAAAAAAGTATTTTTATTAGATGAAACCTACCTGTGGGAGCAGATAAAACGTTATACACCACGCAGGAGGTAAGTTTTGACCAGTTCTGAAATCAAAAAATATTGTAGGGAATATTTGGTAGTCAGTAGTGGGAATTGTAGGAAATTTTTGCTGGCTATGTATTTTAAAATAATAACATCACTGGTGACTCGTTCCTGTATATAAATTTTGTTTTGAGACTATAGCCTTAATGGGGCCGCATTACCGTATATTTGTAAGAAAGCTATTAGTGACGAGTTGTAAAGTTGCTCACGTAATAACATTATATATAATTACGTGTTAGTTACTTTTTTCATAACATAAAACTTCTCTTAACATATTCACTGCGGCTGACAGCCTAGGCCGTCATGCGCGGTAGCTGATATGTGCGTATGTCGGCCCACGCAGTCATGCGTACGCAGGCAACCTTTTGTTATATATTATTATTATATAGAGGTCAGCGTTGTTCTAGCGCAGTTTTAGGTGCTCAATGCGCTTGACGGCCCAAGCCGTCATGACGGCTTGGGCCGTCATGACCCTACGTGCACTGATTTTTGCCAAAACATCTTATGTAATTTATTAAAGTGTTCTGTAAACGAATTTTACAGAAATTCGAAATAAAAATATGTTAGCACCAGGGGGGTCGTTAAGACTTCCTCAATCAGCAGTGAAAGTGTTAAATGATGTGTTTTCATGTGATAAATTTAGTAAATAATTGATATAAGGGAGCAAAAAATATATACAGATACTCTAGGGCAGACCCGCAAACCCACCCAATATAAAAAGTTCATATCGTAACTAGCGCCCCCTCTGTTGATTTCTTTAGAACTAATATTACAGTACAAAGCACAAATATTTATATTCAAATTATATTTTATTTCTTCAAATAGAGATTCAAAATAATCTAGAATAGTTTAATCATGAGAAAAAGTTCTCACCCGGAATTTGACAAAAGTGAACTGTAAAAACGCTTAAAATAAATTTGCATTTACAAAATCGTCTATTTAAGGTACTTAAGAAAACTGTTTCATTTGGGGTGGCTTTCCATCACGCAGGACTTACCATGGACGAACGCGATATCATAGAGGGTGCCTTTCGCAACGGAGGTATTCGAGTTCTAGTGGCAACATCGACCTTATCATCAGGAGTTAACTTACCGGCGCGGAGGGTCATTATTCGCACTCCAAATTTCCACAACAAGCCTATAGACACTTTAACATACCGGCAAATGATAGGTAGAGCTGGAAGAATGGGAAAAGACGAAAAGGGGGAGAGCATTTTAATATGTCAAAAAAGCGACTATCAAACAGCTAAGGAATTAATGTCTGCGGTTTTAAGGCCTGTTATGAGTTGTTTAAAGGGCGCGGGTAAGTTAAAACGCGCGATATTGGAAGTAATCGCAAGCGGTGTTGCCACTTCCCCCGAAGATGTAGAGCTATTTACCAACTGCACCCTTTTGGCTGTAGAGGGCACTGATACATTGGATAACCCAATAGAGGATGCAGTGAACTTTTTAAAGGAAAACGAATTTATAAGACTTCAGAAAGCGAGCGATGATACATTTATGTATGTCGCCACTTGTTTGGGTAAAGCATGCCTCTCTTCATCAATGGCGCCCGATGAAGGTCTAGCGTTATTCGGGGAATTATCTAAGGCACGTCAATGTTTTGTTCTGGAGACGGAGTTGCATTTAATATATCTCGTCACCCCATACAGTGCTTGTAACACCTGGGGTAACATCGACTGGATGTTTTATTTGGAATTATGGGAGCGTATACCAGCAAGTATGAAAAGAGTTGGTGAGTTGGTCGGGGTTAGGGATTCATATTTGGTTAACGCCAGCCGAGGAAAAATACAAACCAACACCGGTAAACTATATCACAAGCTCATGGTACACAAACGATTCTTTATTGCCTTGGCGTTGCAAGATTTGGTCAACGAAAAAAGTCTTGGTGAAGTTTGCCGCAAGTTTAGCTGCAATAGGGGAATGCTGCAATCTTTGCAGCAGTCAGCTTCATCGTTTGCTGGCATGGTGACTTCGTTTAGCCGACAGTTAGGATGGACAAGCGTTGAGTTACTAATATCCCAGTTCCAAGACCGTTTGCAGTTTGGTGTAAGCCGGGATTTACTAGACCTTATGCGACTGCCAGTTTTAAATGGAAAAATGGCCAGAACTCTCTATAATGCCGGTATAGAAACGGTTGCACAGCTTGCTAATTCGGAAATACCCAATGTGGAAAGTATATTACACACTGTTATGCCATTTGAGAGCGAAAAAGAAAGGGAGGGTGAAAGTGAATTTGAGAACAACAAACGTAAGAAAATTAGGAATGTTTGGGTCACTGGTAAGGACGGCTTAACGGTTAGAGAGGCCAGTGAATTATTGATAAAAGATGCTAGAAGTTATCTAAAGATTGAAATGGGTTTGGTTGATGCTAAATGGGAAGTAAGTCAAAAGGAAAAAACAGATGAAGCTATAGCTGATACTTATAACACCAAAGAAGTAACCAAAGAAAAAATTAATATAGAAGAAACCATTTTACAGAATGAAAAACAATTTAAATCAGAAGAAATATTAAAAACCAAAGCAGAAATCCTAAACCAAGAAGAAACATCTAAAAATATAAAATTCCTAATTAAGGAAAAAGAGATTCAAAATATCAAACAAATCAATTATAATACTAATACAAATGTAGAAAAAATCAGCAGTCCTCAAGAAAAACTCTCATATCAAAATCCAGAATCCATTCAATCAGAACAACTAAATAGTTTCGTCGACTTCGAAATGAACATATCCAGTGTTTCCATGGCGATTGACGAAAAAACAAATTCCCAAGATTCCGACCAAAGTATTTTTAGCGATAGTTTTACTCTGTATCTTAGTGATGATTTTATAACGCCAGCAAGCCCTTGTACTTATAGAACAACCAAAGATTCAAGCGTTGTTTCTGAGGAAAAGTCATCCAAAATGGATATATCCGACGATATATTAATGTCTTCATTCAGTGATGATACAGAGAATTCTTTGGCAAGAATGACAAAGAAAAGACCCAGAATGTCAGAAAAACAATCTAAAAACTCTCTTAAAAAGAAGAAGGAATCCCTCGAAGTATTTAACGAACAACCACTTCAACAATTGGATGAAGATATCTTAGACTTTTCAAAATTAGATATAGTAGATGTTTGCGCCAACGAAGAATTGTTTAATACGTTCAAAGAAGAACTGCAAACTAAAAATAGATTTTCCTTAGCTATGGCTTGTTGCGGAGTATTAGAAAATATACCAAAGGTCGGTTTAAAAACCCTATTGTCGCAAAGTATGACCAGTAAATCTTCTTTTGAATTTAATAATACAAAAGTAGAAGGAGTGGCTTTATCATGGGGAAATGGCACTGTCTACCATTTGTCTTTGGAGAGTGAGTTTAAAGTAGATGTAATAAAGCTTTTGGAAAACGTTTTAAGTAAAAAGAACAATGAAGTTAAAATGTTTGATTGTAAAGAACAAATTAAATGTTTAAAATTGTGCTGTAATGTCGATGTTGGCACCAATATTAAGGATCCTAAGGTAGCTGACTGGATTTTGGATCCAGAAGGGCGAGAAAAAAACCTTCAAGCTTTGGTAATAATTCATAATATGCCAAAACTAATATGTTTATTTACCTCATTTTTATTTCAGACTTTAACATATTGTCCAGAAGCCATGGATCTTGTTCATCTTGCTGGAAGTATTAAAGGAGTGGGGAGTGTTTCTTTGGACCTTAACAGTAGCATAGATTCAAAAATAAGATCTTCAGTTGAGTCTCTAGTAACTTGGTATATTGTTGACTCCCTAAATGATAAGTTATGGAAAGAAAACCCAAATTTTCTGGAAGTTTACGGTGAGTAAATCAAAATAACGCATTTTGTAATTTAATATATTCTTTATAGATATTGAAATGAAGACCAGTTTATACCTTAGCAAAATGGAACTTAATGGTATGGGTGTAAGCAAACAAAAAATGCAGGAACTAGCAGACACTTTAAAAAACCAAATGGACGCTATCGAAAACAAATGTTACTCACTAGCTGGTCGAAGATTCAACATATCTTCCCCAGCGGAAGTTTCAAAAGTTTTAGGTATGTACAGAGGCAAGAAAGTAAGCACCAGAAAAGAAATCTTGGAAAAATCGGATCATCCCGTAGCGAAGTACGTCTTGCAGTGGCGCAAACTCAGCGGCACAATAACGAAAATGATTTACCCTCTGATAAGGGTGATAGAAAAAGACCGTTTACATGGTTGTTGTATAACACATACCGCTACAGGGCGAATTACTATGCATGAGCCAAATCTGCAGACAATTTTCAAGGATTTCGAGATTGTTCATCCCTTTAATGAGAAGAGCATGGTTTTAAGTTGCAGGGGGGCATTTGAGGCCCTAGAAAATTGTTGCTTGGTGTCTGCTGATTATTGCCAGTTGGAGCTAAGGCTATTAGCGCACTTATCTGGTGATATGTTATTAAGAAAAATTATGAAAAGTCCCGGGGATGTGTTTAGGTCTATTGCCAGTAAGTGGAATAATGTGGAAGAGAGTGAGGTACCTAAATCTATAATTTTCTCATTATATCGACTATTTATTATAAACTTTAAAGGTTAATGACGATATGCGTCAAAAAGCAAAACATATTTGCTATGGTATAATCTATGGTATGGGTTGCAAGACTTTAAGTGAACAATTAAAAATTACAGAAGATGAAGCAACTATTTTCATGGAAACTTTTAAAAATGCTTATCCTGGTATACAAATTTATATTTTAAGAACAATAGAATATTGCAAAAATACGGGTTATGTTGAAACTATAACAGGCAGAAGAAGATATTTACCGCACATAAAACATAATAACGGAAGCTTAAGAGGTATGTAAAAAAATCGAAATTTCCTTAAAATTATTAAATCTTTTTTGGTGCTTTCATAAAAATACTGCAGGTACAAAATATCATTTTGTTAAAACGTTGTTTGGTTAAAATGTTTAGCAATTTTGTGATATTAATGTTTGTTTTATAGATATGAGATGATTTGCGTATCCATATTTTAATGAAGAAATTATTAGAGTTACAATTTTATATTATACAGTGAAACTTCCCTAACTTGAATCTTGAAGCAATTAAAAATTAACAAACTGTTTTAATTGTTGTAAATAGTTATTGTACAAACTGTTTTGATGGGATAAAGCCCAATAAATTGCTTAAATGAATAGAGTTTAGTTAAAGAGAATTCGAAATACACAAGGATAAGTAGGTACGAAATTCGACTTAGGGAATAATTAGAGTTTTCACTGTACATATGTTTATTATTTTATAATTTAAAAAAATTAACAAACTCGATGTTTATTAACAATAATGTGAAGTGCTGGAAAATTAACAAATTTTAACTTAAGTAGTTTTTTCTTTGGAAATTAAGCTTACCTAATTATATAATTTAAAAAATTTAACAAACTCGATGTTTAGTAACAATAATGTGAAGTGCTGGAAAATTAACAAATTTTAACTTTAAGTAGTTTTTTCTTTGGAAATTAAGCTTACCTAATTATATTTATTTTGTAGTCCAAGACATTGTAAAAAAGTATAGGTATGTAAAAATTTTATTTGTCGGTATCCGTCTGCGAAAGTTAAGGTTTTTTCATATTGCGGTACATGATATCGCCGCTGTTTATAAGGTAAGTACGTTATAGCGGGTATCAATAATTGTGTATACACTGCTTGCAAATCCAAGTCCGACCGGGTTGGGAAGGACGGTTGTTCAATACCCGCGTGAAAAGAACACCACCTGTTTGCGTTCTATCCTTGTTATTTTCACGCGGGTATTGAGGAACCGTCCTTCCCAACCCGGTCGGACTTGGATTTGCAAGCACTGTATAAAAATTTCATTTAATGTCGTTTATTTGCTATTATTTAATTAACATTTAGTATTATATTATTAATTATATTTAAGTGTGATTAATATTACTTTGTATTTTTCCTAATGTAGCCCTACAATATTGTTAGGTATAGGTACAATAATTACTGTAAGGCAGTGGCGGCTCGTCAGGGTAGGCCTCTGAGGCCGCGCCTCACCCTTAAAATGAAGGAACGAACGACTTTTTTTATTTATATTTTTGCCTATTACAAGTGTATTTTTACAACAGTTCTACCCAATAAAAAGTAAAAAACCAATCAATCATACTAAGCGTAAATAAAAATCCAGGCGCAAAGCGCGTTAATTTAACGTGCATCGTTGAGAGTCGCTAGGACAGAGGCGAAATTTTCACAGCCTCGAAAGCTTCCATTTACCTCTTGAAAGCGAAAATGACTCACCAACAAAAATATCGCCGGAAGTTCGCAAATAAATACCGTAGATGAGGCGAAATTTAGTTAGCTTGGCTTGTTCTGATTGGTGGTTTTATCACATGACCGATGATAATCGCTTGTGGGGGTCCGTCTATGGTGGGATGCCAGTGTTCTCTTAGCTTTGACGTTAACGCCCAAATAGCAACGCGTGCCACGTACGTTTCTAGCATTTATGCAAGCAAACAGCCAAACTGAATGCCCGCCTTGCTGCACTTTTACGAACCCGGACAACAATCGGGATTTCCTGGTAAAGTCATGATGATATCAAAACGTGCTTTTTTATCACGCTATGATATCCTGAATGCATACACATGCTTCATCACAGTGATATCATGTAGAACTCACGGTGTGATATTTGCAAAATTTGCGCATGCGTATGCAGGGCCGGATTTAGGCATGGGCCACATGGGCCCGGGCCCAGGGCGGCAAATTTTTAGGGGCGGCAAATTTTGAAGGCCAGTTAAAATTTTGCTAAAAAATCAAGAGCGTTTTATGCAGAATTTTTGTTTTCACTCAGATTTATACACTAATTAAAACTATAAAAAGTTGGAAGAGAAGTTTTTTAATACATTAGATAATTTTATATCAGACTACACTATTATTCTGCGTAGTGCGTCACTGCGTAGAAGGGCGGCAGTCGATGTACACGAGGCGAGTGGGGCGCGACTCTAGCTTATTCGCTGAGTCATTCGTTATTTGGGGTAATGATGTGTTGGGCCCATGGGCGGCAAATTCATAAATCCGCAGCGTATGAGCCCTGCGAACTGCGAATTTAAAACCTAGTTTTATTATTTATTTATTTATTTATTTTATTCAAAAAACAGTAAGTCTTTTCTAATAAAAAAAATAATTTTTAAGGAATTAAACAGTCAACCACGATACCTAATTTTGCCAAATAAAAACCTTGTTAAACAGCTTTTGTTTAGAACTATTTATAAAAATTTGACATTAGTACAGTAGTCTTTTTTAATAAAAAACATAATTTTTAAGGAATTAAACAGTCAACCACGATACCTAATTTTGCCAAATAAAAACCTTGTTAAACAGCTTTTGTTTAGAAAAATTTGAAATTAGTAATATAATAGAACAATGTTATTTTGTAAATAAAAACTTGCAACTGTCCCATTCGTTACGCGTGGAATGGCCGTATACTTTTTCTCTCAATGTACGAATGTGGCGCAAAATAAATTTCCAAACACGGATGGCATAAAAAATCACGACATGATTTTTTATGCTATCGGTGTTTGAGCATAAAAATTCACGACATGATTTTTTATGCCATCGGTGCACCGACATGTTTGGATATTTATTTTTGCGCCACACTCGTACATTGTGAGAAAATGTATGTTTACAATTGAATTAACAGTTTTTGCGGTTAAATACATTTAATATTTTCTTGGATGTAAGTTAACTATTAATTTAAATCCAAAAAAATATGTATTTAACCACAAAAACTGTTGATTCAATATATATGTAAATATACTTTTTCTCTCAATGTGCCGCAAAAATAAATATCCAAACACCGATGGCATAAAAAATCACTAGATGATTTTTTATGCCATCGGTGATTGATCATAAAAAATCACGACATGATTTTTTATGCCATCAGTGTTTGGATATTCATTTTTGCGACACATTCGTACATTGAAGGAAAAAGTATGTTAACAATTGAATCAATAGTTTAACATTCAATATTTTCTTGGATTAAAATTAACTATATATAGTTAATTTAAATCCAAGAAAATATTAAATGTATTTAAAGGCAAAAACTGTTGATTCAACATAATTTTTCTCTTAGTGTACAAACGTGGCGCAAAAATGATTATCCAAACACCGTTGGCATAAAAAATCACGACATGATTTTTTGTGCCATCGGTCAATCGCTATCAGCGATGGCATAAAAAATCACGACATGATTTTTATTTCTCACGCAGTGACATCCGGATGATGTCCGTATGAATAAAATTTGTGAAAATCACGACGTGACGTTCGTATGATTTTCATTTATTACGCGGTGAATTCCGTATGATATCAGTATAAATAAAATTTGTGAAAATCACGACGTGATGTTCGTATGAATATCACGAATGTTATCCGGGAGGTTGTACTCGTGTATACAACCTTTAGACAATATGCGCGAATGCAGACGTTTACTGTCAAGAAGTAGAACTATCAAAACGTACGCGTTTGTTGTTGCTAACAATTAATTCTCATTTTTATCGTGAAAAAAAGTTTTTTCTGTATAAAATTATTAACCTTGTCTGCCAATTGGGCTTTAATAAAGAGTTGTTAATATTATTATTAAAAAGGGTAGTATATACAAAATTGTTAAAACAATCTTAGAAATAGTGCTTCAAGATTACTAATTTCGTACACGTAACATTGGGAAAAATTAATCCAAAAAATATCCTTATTAAATTATTTTATTTTTTTATTTTACCATTTCTAGAATCCAGAAATACAAATTGCAGAAAATTTGGATGGATTGAAGTATGACCAGGCTGCCTTAAATTTGTTTTATTAAAACGGTGCACCAAGTATCCTTGTATGTGTAGGTATACTTCTATTGGTAATTTTTTTATGTGTAGAGCACAAGCTTGTGACCTAGGTCAGTTAAATTAAAGAGAAGTTACTAATTACCAGCCTATTAAAATAAAATAAATTGAAAAAAAGCCAGAGGTTCTTAAAATATTAAAAAAAAACTAAAAACCTTTCATAAACAAAAATCGTTATAACTTTATTATTCCTGGGAATTATAAAAAAGTAAGTATTAAATGTAAACATTTATATTAATCTACTTTTTCATCCAATTTCTTTGCTACTATATTTTCATCACCATCTTTTATTTTTACAATGGCCATAATTTATGTATACATCAATATATATATTGATATATACAGGGTGTTTCATAATATATGCGCAGGACTTCAGGATGTGATAGCTCATCCAAAAAGATGAAAAAAGTCGCTATTAACTTACCCTCTAAAATGCACAATTTTCGAGATACAGGGTGTTGAAATTTTAGAAAAAAAATCGTTTTTTTAGATTATCTCTGGAACCGTTTATCGTATAAAAAACAGCTTTTGTAAGCATTTTCTACTCATAATAAGCTATGTTTTGTGCAAGAAAAAATTTTTTTTACTCATAATTGGTGGAGATTTTGAAGGGGTAGCGGGTGTTTTCTCCTCAACTTCAACGCCCCTGAAAAAAGTACGGTTTTGAGAGGCCCATTCGAACCGCCAATGTTTTCTACAGAAAAAAGGTACTCTTGGTCATAAGCACCAAAGTTGACCGTTTTCGAGAAAAATCAACTTTTATGTTTAAAAACATGGTCAATTTTTTGAAAAAAAATTTTTATTAATAATTTATCAAAATTTATTTTAACATTAGAAAAACTAACAAAACCAAACGACAATTGCAAAATTAAAAAAAAAATAAAAAATGATTTTTTACTCAAATGCTGAAATGTGCGAAATGCGTTACCTTTACGGTTTGGAGAATTAAGCAAAGACAACTTTTAAATCATTTTT